CAAGTGTCGGTGGCGTATCGAATGTGCTCCCCATTGCAAGTGCTGATGAAGAGCTGGACCTGCGAGAATAACGTTTCGAAATCAGGGACGCTGGGCATAGAAAACTTCACAAACCTACAAAGGGAGACAAAGCACACAATGCAAACCATCTCTTTCTGGGACCCCTGCAAGAGCGCCTTAAACGCACACAAAGGGCACCTTAAGTGTGTCAGATGGCCCGGTTGTGGGTTTTTTGTGTACATGCTGTATGCTGCCACTGTTATGAGTTGGATGGACATCTACATCTAGTTAATAGGGGAGAAAAAAATACAGGCAGTCTTTGAGTTACGACTCCAGAACAGGAGTTTTTGGGCCCTTCCAGCCATCATAAAATGCACAACTTCCCCCCTGTGCTCACACAACCACATTTTTAGTGTTTGGCAACCAGTTTATGACCAGTTTTAAATTGTGACTGCAATGTTTTTTTGCCAGTTTTGGGTGGGTTGTTTGCTAATTTCCAGCAAAAAAAAAAAAACCCACAGAAGAATGGAAGAACGTGCCATTTGCGACTGTGGGGATTTGCTGAACAATCATGAAAATGTTAATTTCAGATCCAGCCACATGGCTGCCTTGAAGTATGACCACACTGACTTACATACAGATTTCTGATCCCAATTGTGATGGTAAGGATCCGTCAAGCTTACTTTTCACAACAGTGGATGGATTTTTTTTTTTTTAAAAAAACAGAATTAGGTGAAGCAGAAGGTTCACAGAAAAGAAGCCTCAAGGTTGTCTCTCTATTCAAGTCTAAAGGAAAAGCTTCCAATAAGAGGGCCACTTACAAAACAGCCAACACGCCCAGTGAGTGTTCCTGGACATCGAGTGCCCCGAGTACGGTATCCAAATGGGAGAGGTTTTTCGCTAGCAGTTCTCCACTTTTGTTGATCAGCTCGCAAAGCTGAGTCATTTGCCCTGAGAGAGGTGAAAAGTTTGGTAAGTGAGGGAAGAAAAAGGAGACCTCTCACTCTCTGCCCTATAAATTCCCAGCTCCACAAACAGCAAATACCAAGGGAACAGCCATTTATGTCATAAAAGCAAAGCTGTAAAAAAAAATAAGCCAATACTGTAATCAAAAATATACAGCAGCGAGAGCATGTCTCAATTTATAAGTGCTCAGGAAACTAGAGGAAGGTGTCACAAAATTAGCTCTTTAGCACAAAACAACGAATTGTAGAAAAGGTGCTCTATTAATATTTTTATTCTACACCGTTTCAAGAAGGCTCAGCTCACTGACCTATTTTTATGGACCAAAAAGGAAAGCTTTAATTAATGAAATTGTTTCCTAGCCTCCCTTCCTAGCAGTTAATTTTCACATCACAATAAAGCTGGGATAGGAATAGATTAGAGGCCTCTGTCCCCAACCATTTAATACCATGGACAGCACCCCAGCTGAAGTCCTACCCTTTCAATCCCTCAATGAAAACGGTTCAGCCTAGGATAAAGTCTTGCATATAACTCTCTTAAAATTTAAATACCCTGAAACACCACATACACACTTATGTAAATATATAGACAATTTTCATAAATCTCTGTATAATGGTCATAAAACTAAAGATAACTATTTGGAAAATCATTAAAATAATCCTTGGAGTTCCTACAAATAACATGAAATTAGAAAGCCCCAAAATCAGGGATCTTTGGAAGGATAGAATTAAATTTAAAACGAAACAAAAAATTGCCACCGTCCGGACTGAAAAAACGAAAGGGAGTCGATTCTCCTGAGATTTTCCAGATGCAAAGTTAGGACCTTAAACCAGCTTCCAAGCTGAGAAATGTTTGCTTTGATAGACCAAGACTTTTATGCAAGGGAGCCAAAACCAGCAAGCTTATAAAACTGCACCTCCGCAGAGATGCTGAAACGCCTTTCAAAAATAGAAAACCAGGGATCATAAAACGACCTCATCATTCTAAAGAATATGGAATTATGTTTCTTTTAAGGATTTATTTCTCTTTATTTGACTAAAGCTGTGGCTGCAAAGACGACTTCCGTGGTTTTCACGGTTTTATTTATTTATTTATTTATTTATTTATTTTGTTGCATTTCTATGCCGCCCAACTCCCAAGGGACTCTGGGCGGCTTACAATAAAGAATAAAACAATGCGAACAATCCCATAAAAAAATGTTAAAAACATTAAAAACTTTAAAAACGTTAAAACACATGCACTCCACATGCACTTTTCATGGGGTTCTTCCATGACAGCCACCGCTCGGCTCTTTTATTTAAATAAAAATCCAACAAAAAGTCAACCTGGATAGAGAGGCAGAATCCAGAAGGGGCAAAGCAAAGATTGATCCTTGGGGGGGGGGGGGGGGGGGGGGGGTAGAAGGGGAAAGACGCCTGTGGGTAGATGGGGAAGGAGGGAGGGAGGGGGGGCTGCCCCACAGAATGCAAATGACCACCCATTGACCTTCCAAGAGATCAGCAAGTGGAATTGGGCTTTGGACAGGAGACCACCAGGAGATCCCAGGGGCCTGGGAAGTGGAAAGCCCAGCTGTGAACAGGCAGAGCGAGCCCCAGCCCCCCCCCACTCCTCCACGTACTGATCCATCCTCCGCCCTCCATCCCCCCCTTCCCCCCTCCCCCACACTCCCAGCCAGCCCGGGAGCGCCAGGTTGGGGAAGGGCTGCTCTGCTCCCTCCTTTCCCTCCCCCGCCCGGGAGGAGTTTGCAAGCCAAGAGGCGGGACCCCGAAGCCCCGCCCCGCCCGCAGACAGACAGACAGACGGACAGACAGACGCGGCAGCCAATGGGCATCTTCGGGAGGCGGGCTCCCTCCCGGCTCCCCTTTCTCGAAGGCCGCCCAGGGCCAGAACGGGGCAGCGGCCTCCACGTGCGCGCCCGGCCTTGCGTCTCACCTTGGGCCGAGAGCTGCCGGACGCTGTTGACGAACTGCTCCAGGGCGGACGCCATGGCGGCGCGGGGAATGGGGGGAGGGAAAGGCCCGGCCGGGTCAGCCGCGGAGGAGCCGCCTCTGCCTCCTGCTCCTCCAGACGCAGCGGGAGAGACGTCGCCGCCGCGCAGGGCCAATCGGGGGCCGCGCTTTTGGAGCGTCACTTCCGGCGCGCGGCGCGGGAGCCCGGCTAGGGGCGTTGCCATGGGGATCGCCTCCCACCCGGAAGTGAGCGAGCTAAAAGGGCCGCTTCCTGCCCTGGGCGGAGTTCGCGCGCGCGCAGTGGCTTGACAACAGTCCAAGGTCGCCCCGCCCTTTTTGCTGAAAAAGAGGAAGGAGGGGCTTCATGCAGACCTCAAATTGTGAAATGATGTCTATTTATTACAAACATACAGATATCCACATATAATTAAACATGATGTGCATATAATTATTAAATAAATGTGTCTTTTCCACATATATATAAAACTCCTTTGCAAATGCAAAACCAAGATAAACAATCCAAAATGCATATTAGAGTCTTAATTTTGCTACCTTAAAAATGGGCTGTTGGCTCTTTCACTAATCCAGGGGCAAAAAAAGAAAAAAAAAGAATTTTGTTGTCTAAGCATTTGTGAGATTGGACAACCATTGGTCTGGAATGTTGTAGGATTTCCTGCCTGAGCAGGAGGTTGGACTAGAAGACCTCCAAGGTCCCTTCCAAATCTGTTATTCTGGCTTTACTTTATTGCCTGTCCTTTATACGCAGCAGGATTTAATGTGCCGAGGCCTCCGGTTTATCAGATACGTCTCCGGCCAAGCTTGTGCCATTTAAAAATAGAGGAGGGAGCCTCAACCCTCTTTGATTCCTGCCATGGAAGAAATGCTCCTTCGCCCCGGCAGGATTCTGGCACCCCGGCAGGCGTCCACCCTGAGACTTGCCAGGGACCTGGAATCTGCCTAGGTAGGTGAACTGGAAGAATGGAAGGGATCCATCCTCCAGGAAATCCATCAACAGAAGTCAGAAAAGACAGACAGGGGTCCTGCCAAATGTCCTAATTTGTGCACGGGGGGCTCAAATTCCTGGACTTCCGTTGGCCTGGTAACTTCCTTGACCAGAGAGCAGAATTTGAATTCGACTCCTGTCAGAAATGCTTCTGGGGTCTTCAGGGCAGTAGATTTTTAGGGTTGAAATTCAGAGGTTTGCTGGTTGCAAGATCTTGAGATGTTTTGTTCAAAAGAAGTCTGGTGGATACTATTTGTCCAATTGATTCTATAAATGGTCCTCCTTTTGTGACCGCAATGGGGAGGCCACCAACTGGTCATTAAGTGAAACCTAGAGGGTGCTTATGGTCTTCCTAAGGAAAGGGAGTTGTAGTGCAGGGAAGCCAATGCCTTGTAGTAACATTTGGGCAAATCTTGAGGAAAAGAGATGCAACCTTCTGCTTTGGCATAAAATGTGGGTATTTCTAGGAATGCTGCTGCCTTTCCGTGGGAAAAGGGAGAACCAGACGCCCCTTTCTGGCTTTATTCCCCGGGAAACCCGCGCAGGCCCCCTGCCCCTTCCACCCCACCCGACCTCGCCTTCCTCTTCCCTGAGCCCCGCAGCGGTTCCGCATGGGCAGCTCCGCGGCCGGGGAAAGGAGCGGAGAGGCCGGGGCGAGGGCGCGCGAGGCTCCGGGCTTGGCACGGAAAACGGAGCCCCAGCCTCCCCAGCTGCCCTTTTGCAGGCGACGGCAAGCAGAAGCGGAACCCCGCCGGGCCGGTTGCTGGAGGGAAGGGACTGAACCGGAGCGGCTCGCTGGGACGCTTTGGCACGGGCAAGCAATCTCCCTTGGCTTCTTTGCTTTTTCTCTCTTTCCCTTCCTTTCCCTTTCCTCGGTCCCCTCGCTCTTTCTCTCTCTCTCTACAACCCTTCCTTCCTTCTTTCTAATCCCTCCCTCCCTTCTTCCTCCCTCCCTCCTTTTTTCCTTCCTTTCTTTCTCCCTCCCTCCATACTTCCTTCCTTCCTTCTTTCCAATCCTCCCTCCCCTCCTTCTTTTCACCCTTCCCTCCTTCCCCTTCCTTTCTTCCCCCTCCTTCTTTCCTTCCTTCCTTCTTTTCCTCCCTCCCTTCTTCCTTCCTTCTTTCTAATCCTCCCCTTTCTTTCCTCCCTCCCTCCCTCTTTCCTCCCTTTCTTCCTCCTCCCTCCATACTTCCTTCCTTCCTTCTTTCCAATCCTCCCTCCCTCCTTCTTTCCACCCTTCCCCCCTGCCTTCTTTCCTTCCTTCCTCCCTCCTTCTTTCCTCCCTCCCTCCTTCTTTCCTTCCTTCCTTCCTCCCCCCTCCATACTTCCTTCCTTCTTTCTAATCCTCCCTCCTTCTTTCCTCCCTCCCTCCTTTTTTCCTCCCTCCCTCCTTCTTTTCTTCCTTCCTTCTTTCTAATCCTCCTCCTTCCTTCCCCCACCAGCCCAGCCCCGAGCCCCGAGTTCCGCAGTGGCCGCCGGGCGCCTTCCCTCCGTGACCTTCGGATCTTGCGGCAGAGGCGGGCGATGGCTCGGCGGGGGCGAAGGCGGCCGGAGGGGCCGCTCCTGCCCTGAAGGGGGTCTCGACGCCCTCCCCGCCCAGAGACGCCCCTCCCGGGCCATGATCTGCCGGGGCAGCCGCAGCCTCCTCCGGCACCCGCAGCGGGTCCTGGGCGCGGGCGCCGTCGGGGCTGCTGGCCTCCCTTCCCGGCCGCTGCGGGTGCTGGTGGACATGGACGGGGTGCTGGCCGACTTCGAGGGGGGGTTCCTGAAGAAGTACCGCGCCCGCTACCCGGACCTGCCCTACATCACGCTGGACGAGCGGCGCGGCTTCTGGGTCTCGGAGCAATACGGGAAGCTCCAGCCTGAACTGAGCGTGAGTCCCGTCCTGACATGCACACAGACACGCGTTCCGATGACCCCCGGGGGAGCCGTCCGAAGGGCGAAGCAGAGTAAACAAAGCTGGGTTGACCCGCCGTTCCTCTTTTGCTCGCGGGCCGTCAGGCGCTCCAAGGATTTCAGCACCTTTCTGGGTGCCCAAAACCTCCCTGGCAGTCTCGGTTCGCTGCTGGGGGGAAATTAAGGGGTGGGTGGGTGTCTGACGGCTGGGCCCCCAGGTAAAGGCTGTCCAGTCCATCTCAGGCTCAGGAGATTCTGTACTAGCTCCAGGGACCGTCCACTGCACCATTTAGGTTTACTCCAGGGGTGTAGAGGCATTCCTTAGTCTTTAGAATAGGATAGAGTTGGAAGGGACCTTAGAGGTCTTCTAGTCCAGCCCTGTGCTCGAGCAGGAGAACCTATACTATTTCAGACAAATGGCTCTCCAGTCTCTTCTCAAAAACCTCCAGTGTTGAAGCACCCACGATTTCTGGTGGCAAGCTGTTCCACTGGTTAATTGTTCTCACTGTTGGGAAATTTCTCCTTAATTCCAGGTTGCTTCTCTCTTTGGTTAGTTTCCATCCATTGTTTCTTGCCCTGCCCTCTAATTCTAACTGAGATTGGCATGATCTGTGTCTCCGAGTAGTTCTCGACTTACAGCCATTCTTTTAGTGGCCATTCAAAGTTACCCTGGACCTGAAAAATGTGAGTTACAGGCCTCACACTTATGAGGGTTGCAGCATCCCCAGAGTCACGTGATAAAAATCCAGGTGTTTGGCAACCTGCGTGTTTCACAATGGCTGCAGTGTCCCAGGTGTTCGCTGACTTCTGACAGGCAAAGTCAACAGGGGAAGCTGGATTTGCTTAACGACTGCATGATTCACTTACCAACAACAGTGCATACCGGGCCAAAAACAAATCGTAAAAATCAGGCACGCCTTCCTTAACAACTGCCTTGTAAATGAAATTCTGGTGAGATTATAAATCAAGGACTTATCTGTCTTTGGTATTTCAAATGCAGGTAGCCCTGGTCTTATGACCACAATTCAGCCCAAAGTTTATGTTGCTAAGCAAGACATTTGTTAAGTGAGTTTTGCCCCATTTTGCAACCTTTCTTGCCATAGTCGTTAAACGAATCACTGCAATGGTTAAGTTAAAGACACGGTTGTTAAGCGAATCTGCTTTATCTGGGGTCACAAAAGGTCACCAAAAGGGGATCACACAGCAACCGTCATAAATGTGAGACCGTTGCCAACAGTCTGAATTTTGATCACGTAACCATGGGGATGCTGCAGGGGTCGTAAGTGTGAAAAATGGATGTGGAAAAATGGATTTCCTGGATTCCATATGTTTCGAGACATGTCGCTGGTGTTTAGTTGCATTCATGTGCTGGTGTTTGCATCTGTGTCTGTTTCTCTCTCGCTCCCCTCTCCCCACTTTGCAGGAAAAGGCTATCAGTATTTGGGAATCCAAGAACTTTTTCATGGAGCTCGACCCACTTCCAGGGGCTGTGGAGGCTCTGAAGGAGATGGCAGAATTAGAAGCGTAAGTATTGGGCCATAAAATGGGAACAGCAGCAAGTTCTCCAGATGTTTCATACCCTGTGCCAGGGGTGAAATCCAGCAGGTTCTGGCAGGTTCTGTAATATCCTTCCCCCAGGAGCAATAACTGAGAAATAGGAATGGTTCTCACTCTCTCTTTTTATCTTAGGACTGAAGTCTTCATATGCACGAGTCCCATCAAGAAATATCGCTACTGCCCATATGAAAAGGTAAAGCCTGCTCAACAAATCTTGGGGTTACTCGCTGGTTAAATCAGAAGGACCAGGATTTTATATTAAGGCAAGCTAAACACTGCAGGGACGCGGTAGCTCAGTGGCTAAGAGGCTGAGCTTGTCGATCGAAAGGTCGGCAGTTCAGCGGTTCGAATCCCCAGTGCCGTGTAATGGGGTGAGCTCCTGTTCCTTGTCCCAGCTTCTGCCTACCTAGCAGTTCGAAAGCAGGTAAAAAATGCAAGTAGAAAAATAGGGACAACCTTTGATGGGAAGGGAACGGCGTTCGGTGCGCCTTTGGCATTGAGTCATGCTGGCCACATGACCACGGAGACGTCTTCAGACAGCGCTGGCTCTTCGGCTTTGAAACGGAGATGAGCATCGCCCCCTAGAGTTGGGAACGACTAGCACATATGTGCGAGGGGAACCTTTACCTTTACCTTTAAAAGAGCCTTGATAGTACAGTGGTTTAGTGCACCCTGTTATTAACACAGCTGCCTGCAATTTCTGCTGGTTCAAATCTCTCCAAGGCTCAAGGTTGACTCAGCCTTCCATCCTTTCTAAGGTAGGTGAAATGAGGACCCAGATTATGGGGGCAATAAGCTGACTTTGTATAAAATATACAAAAGTATGAAGGCTATTGCTTAACGCATTGTAAGCCGCCCTGAGTCGGGCGGCATATAAATCAAATTAAAAAAAAAAAAAAAAAAACCACTGCAGGTTTTAAAGGAATTGATCTGATTTAACCTCACCTTCCAGCTCCCTTCCTTCTCAGAGCTGGCTCGTTAGCGGGAACCCTTTGCCCACATGGTTAATTTATTTTTATTTATTTGCGTATTAAATTGATATGCTGTCCATGACCTCACCCTAAAAATGAGTCTGGGCAGCTTTCATTTGATCGCTCTCCCCATGATCCTACAGAAAAAGCTCCCTTCTCGTCATCCAGCCAAAAGTTTTCACCTTCATGTCCTCTGCTGCTTTCCAGTTCGCTTGGATAGAAAAGCATTTCGGACACGAATTTTTGGAGCACGTGATTCTCACCCGGGATAAGACGATCGTCTCTGGACATGTGCTGATCGATGACAGGCCTGATATCATAGGTAAGGTGGGGAGGGTTTGGTGCTGGGGAAAAGAACCCTTGGAGGGGCCAAAAAATGGACCGATTTGCACTGTTTTTGGAGAAACGCAACCCACATCTTCACCGATCGGCCATCTTTCCTTTCCCTCCCAGGTGCTGAACGGACTCCCACCTGGGAGCACGTGCTTTTCACCGCCTGCCACAACAAACATCTGCAGCTCCCGGCTTCTTGCCACCGGTTGCACTCGTGGGCTGATGACTGGAAGGCCGTCTTGGAAAGCAAGCGGGCTTGCTGAAGCTTGGAGAGTTCTTAGCAAGGCCAGCAATGAGCAGGTCTGGTTGCCTGAAGGCTATCTCCTTGAGTTGCTAGCCAGAAGAAGAAGAAGGTACCTGTTACCTTCCTTGGGTCTAGGCTGGCATGTCAGAAGGAAGAATTGTGGCCTCAAATGGCAGCCGGTTTTGGCAGCTAAAGGAAGACTTTCGGTTTCTACAGGAGTGGGGTGTTGGCCAAGTCGTCCAACTATGTTGAAGGCCTCTCATTGAGTAGATCAACTCAGGATGGTTTCCCATCCCTCTTTAAATTTCCGTGGGGTCTTTCTCATTCAAGATGATGGCCGTCCTCATTTTTGGCCTCCAATGGATGGACTTTGAGCTTCTGGAACTCAAATGACCCTTGTTGCAATGGATGTGAAAGAAATATTCCAGAGCGTAAGGAGGTTGGTGAGTTCATGTACCCAGCCACAATCTCACAGACACATGTGAGTTTGTTGCACCGATTCAACCGAAGGATCTCTTGATTTCAGAGCTTTCTAAAATCCAGGGGGCACTGGGGTCAAGAAATCAAGATGGATCTCTAACTGGGAAGTCAAATCCATGCATAATGTTGCACATAATACAGAAAAGTCTTCAATTCCCTGTTGTAGCTTCCATCCTGACTTTTTGGTCATTCGGGGAGATGTCTGAATGACCAAAGAGTAAACAGAGTGTTGTTCCTAAGGATTTATTTGTGGACAGTGTGGGAAACAAGTTCAGAACTGGCCAAAGAGGCTGGACTGGGGGGAAAAAAAGCATTCTGAAGTTCTACAGAACATTGCATCTCTGTGGGGTGCTTTGTCCTCTTTGAGCCTGGGGGTTTTCTTGCAGATATTTCATGACCCAACTAGGGAACATTATCAGTGTTAGAAGGGAGTGGTGGAAACTTTTAGCATTGATGATGTTTCCTAGTTGGGTCACAAAACATCTGCAAGAAAACCATCAAGCTCAGAGAACACCAAAAACCTCACTCTCAATTCATCCCCAAATATTCTGTCCGATCTCTGAAATGAGACACTTTGCACATCCCTAACTTCTACCTGGATGGATTCTACTCTCCATCCTTCAGGTAGACTGACTTTGGGGCTATACACATCTGTTCATATCTTCATGTGGAACCTTCGCATCTTCTCTAGAAGATTCTAATCTTGGCCTGCTAGTTTTCCTTTCTCTGAGCCACGGTGGCGCAGTGGTTAGAGTGCAGTACTGTAGGCGACTTCTGTTGACTACCGGCTGCCTGCAATTTGGCAGTTCAAATCTCACCAGGCTCTAGGTTTGACTCAGCCTTCCATCCTTCTGAGGTGGGTAAAATGAGGACCCAGATTGTTGGGGGGCAATTGCTGACTCTATGTAAACCGCTTAGAGAGGGCTGGAAAGCACTGTGAAGCGGTATATAAGTCTAAGTGATATTGCTCTTCACTAAGTTACATTAGCTCAAACCTCAAAGGACACAATCCCAAAACAGATTACTCCACCCACCTTTTAATTTACAGTAAGTAGGCTCTCACTTGATCTGAGAGCAAGCTTGTCCTAACATTTGCCATTTTCCAAATAGCTCTCATCAGTGTTGGAGCGTTGTTGTGTGTGAGAAACACTTTAGAATCCTTTCGAAAACTTCTTCACAGACTCAAACTGGTCATCATGAACTTGATTTGGGCTTTTTTTTTTTGAAATGTTCAAATGACTCCGTACGAAATCTCGCCTGACAAACCAGGATGTGATGTTGTTAACGCGTGGAGATTACAGGGACGAGCAGGAGTTGTGTCTCCCCCCCCAACTCCCCACTGCCATGCATGCACAATATTCGGTCTATTTATTTAATCTGAATGTCTCCAGCTCTGCGTACTTTTATTGTGCAAATACAACCAACAATTCCTGCTTGAGAAACAATCTTGTCGTGTTTTGCCGTGTGTCGTATTTGTGGATGGTGTTGCAATGTAGCCGGATCAGCAATGTCTGATTCAATTCTTCACTTCTCTAAGTCAAGGATCTCTCCTGGGGATTTACCGGGCATCAACCAGGGGTGGGGCTGCTGGGGGTTCGCAGGGGTTCGGGAGAACCTCTAGCTAAGATTCTGTGCAGTTCGGAGGACCCCCAAATCCCACTCCTGGCTGGCTCCGCCCACCCCTCCCCTCCCCTCCCAGGAGTCCCCACGCGGCCCCTTTTGGATGCAGATAAGGGCAGGGTGTGCGCAGAGGCTCAGGGAGGGTGAAAAACGGGCCTACCGGAAGTTTGGGAACTCCAGAGGGCCTCGGGAGCCTGGGGAGGGCAAAACCAACGCTCCCTCCCGCTGTCGTGCAGGAGGCTGACTAGGCTACGCCCACCATGGCCACACCCACCCAGCAACCGGGCAGAGAGCCCCTTGCTAAAATTTTTGAAGCCCACCCCTGGCATGTACCTCATTGTAGGCTTGCTATTTCCTTTTATTTCCAGTTTGTTATTTTTTTCCCCTTCCCCTATCTATCCCGGGTTCTGAGCTTCCCAGGCGTCCTTCCATCCGATCAGACTTAAATTTTCAAGCTCTGCCAAAGCCAAGTAAGTATACGCCCTCAACGCTCAACAGGCACAGTGTGCTAAATCCCCAAATCTTCCACCAGAGAGCAATCTAGGCCAAGTTTTGATTCTCTTTTATTTTAGTTTTTTTTTTTTTTTTTTCTTTAGGGGCTGGAGCAAATCGCAGCAAAGTCCAATTCCGAGTTGGCAGAAAACTGGAACCACTTTTTTGAAAAATCCAGTTTTTCACCTGAAGCTTTTGTGCAAACATTGATTAGTGGGGGGCTCAGCCCACTCCGCCAGAGAGACATGCTGTCCAAAGGTTGAACAAGCCCCCTTGATAGCGGGGTGTAACTACCAGACAAACAGCCCAGTTCTTTTCAGCTGTTTCACCAGATTTCAGGAATTAAAGTCAAACATTGGGGGTTTTAAAATGAAGAAGGTGATGTTCAGAGAGAAGTGAAAGAAAAAGGAGAGAAAGAAAAATGGAAGGAAGAAAGAGAGAGAGAGAGAGAGAGAAAGAAGAGGAAGGAAGGAAGGAAGGAAGGAAGGAAGGAAGGAAGGAAGGAAGGAAGGAAGGGAGAGGAGGAAGAAGGAAGGATGGATAGACGGAAGGAGAGAGAAGGAAGGAAGGAAAGAAAGGAGAGGATAGGAGGAGGAAGGAAGGAAGGAAGGAAGGAAGGAAGGAAAGAAAGGGCACATTTTTCAAGTCATGCATTTTAGTGAAAAGAATCCATGTTCACCAGTCACAGCTGATGAAAGCATCTGCCTCTGAACAAAGCCTATTGGGAAAAGATGCTTCCAGACTCCCTGCTTGAGAAGCGGGTTGGACTAAATGACCTCCAAGATCCCTTCCAACTCTCTTACTCTATATCCTAATTTTGAGCTGCTGTAGAGTCACACAGCTCCCCTTCTACAAGGCCCACTGAGAAAGGGAAATTCAAAAACGACATCAGGAAAAGCTTTCTTACATCCCAGAGACAGCAATTGCTTTAATGCCCTACTTTACCCCTTGCCTTGCCCGTCTGCCAGACGTACAGAGCACAGACCAATGGGGAAATCCAATTTTTTTTACTACCGGTTCTGTGGGCGTGGCTTGGTGGGCATGGCAGGGGAAGGATATTGCAAAATCTCCATTCCCACCCCACTCTGGGGCCAGCCAGAGGCGGTATTTGCCGATTCTCCGAACTACTCAAAATTTCCGCTACCGGTTCTCCAGAACCTGTCAGAACCTGCTGGATTTCACCCCTGGCACTGACCACTTTCGCCACCCAGCTGGCGGCTGAATGGCGCATAGAAAGATCCACTCTAGTGACCTGATTCCAGCCAGCCAGCCAGCTAGTCTTCAAACCCAGGTGGTTTTCTGAAAGGGATCCACCTTTCGGGACCCAAAGCCCTTCCTCTCAAGCTCGTTCAGCAGAAAGGTTTGGCCTGACCCAGAGGGTTGGATCGGAGCCGATACACACATCGCTCTGGCACGCCGAATTGCGTCAGGTCACATAGTGTGCCCTTGTGCCCAGCTCCCCTTGCACAACTTCGGGGGAAGCTTAGCCCACACTGTGACATTGGCAGATATTTCTGGAGAGGAGAGTGGGGGAAAAAAAAAGAAGTCTTTGGAAGTTTTGTTGGAAAACAAACCCACAAGGTGTGTAGCATTTGGAGCACCGCAGCCTTCCTTTCCCCACATCGGACGGTTGACGCACCCCCACGCATACCAGCCTTTTTTGCTTTCCCCACCTCAAAAGGACACAAATCCCCTTTTGTTGCTCTTGTTTTTAACTCTTGTTCTTTGACGTCATGAGGAGTTTGCTCAGCCAACCTCAAGGCTGGAATTTATTTTAGCATTCAGCCGATGGCAAAGCTGGAGGAGAGAGCTGGAATGGGCGGGGAGGGGGAAACGCTTCAGCCCCACTTAAAATTCACCTATGTTTGTTTTCTTCCTTTTTTTTTTTTTTTTAAACTCAAGTGATTTATGCAATTCTGGGACCTGCTTTATCTTCCCCAGCTTTGGGCCAAGATATAATTCTTCCTTCAGGCTATTCTTCTAACTCTAGTTTTGAAGATTGCGTGGCTTGTTTTAAGCATTGTACCAGTAGGACGTGGTTTGTCCACGTCGTGAACATACCCTTCGGGGCTCCCGATCCAGATATTTATTGGTTTTATGGCTTTTACTGGCTTGAAGTGGTTTTGAAACCTGCGGGGAGAATTTGGGCTATTTGAGCAAAGAACCACTAAATCGATACAGCCAGGGGCTGCAGCCTTCTCTCAAGCAGGGGAAATAAACTTGCAAAGAAAATTTTAGGAAAGAAGCAGGAAAAAAAAAATTGGTTTTTAAACAATGGCCTGATTTCCCAGCACACAGCTTTCCTTCTCTCTCCCACTTTCTTCCTCCTCCTCCTTTGATTTAGATTTAGATTTTATTACATTTCTATACCGCCCTTCTCCCAAAGGACTCAGGGCGGTGTACAGCCATCTCAAAACACATATACACTTACAAAATTTAAAAACAATTTAAAAACAAATATATAAAATTTGGCCCACAAAATTTAAAAGCTAACAAACACCCCAATTTAAAATTCCTATTAGGCCAGCCCGGCTTGTTGGAATAAAAGAGTCTTCAGGGCACTCTTAAAAGGTTAGAGAGAGCATACATATATTTGGAGAAATTCAGGCCGTTCTCGATTTACGATCGGTGACTTAGTGAAAGTTGGAAAACGGGACTTAGGGGCCCAGTTTCAAAGTTCTGACATTTGCCCCCCACCCTCATGGTCCCACGACCTCATCTGGGCACATGTCAACCAGCCTGCATTTATTTATTTATTTTATTTATTTATTTTATTTCTATACCGCCCTACTCCCGAAGGACTCAGAGCGGTGCACAGCCAAACAATAAAATACATACATACAAAATTTAAAAGTGGAATTAAAATCATTTACAGACGCATGACTGTGATTTACCACATTTTTGACAGAAACTGGTGTTTGTTTCTAATTTCCCATAGAAAAACAATGGGTTCACTTAATGACCGCTGCCAAAAGGATCATAAAATCAGCTCTAGTCACAAAGTGACCCACTTTATGACAATCTCAACTTACGATTGTAATGTCAGGCTCAACGATGGTCATAATTGGAGGACTACCTGCAACAGAAATGAGCTGATGCTGCCTCTGAGCCACCTACAATTTTGCAGGAATTAAACTCAGAAGAAACAAGAGCCAGAAATAGCTCGGAGGACACTGGATGCACTCCACAAGTCATTTTCAAAATTAAGGGCCACATTGCTCTATAAAAGAAGAATCGGTAAACACAAACCAAATTGACTTTTCCACAGACATAATATGCTCCCATATTTTTCTCTGTTTTGATCTGTGTTTATGAATAGAGGCAAGCAACTGCAAAACTTCTGACCTACTTTGTGCTTGTAGGCGGCTGAGTGGAAAGGAAAACATGGATATTTATTGTCCCATTTTTAAAATGCCCCCGTTGACCAAAGCAGCTTTCCAGGCCGGATGGCTTCTCCAGGCCAAAGAAGAAGAAGAAGAAAGTCCAGGGAAAGTTAGAGAAGGACCCTGGGTTCGACTTGATTGGATGGCCAGCTGACCACCACCAAAGTAATTTCTTAAATGCTCATTTCACTTAATTGGCAGCTTGTAACAACCATCTGATGGGTAGAAACCAAAAGAAGCTATTAAAGAGAGTGATTAGACATTAGAAATTCTGCTTTATGCGTTTTCTAGAGAATTTCCTTGCGGAGCAGAGAAGCTAATTATCGATCTTAACAGAATAGAATAGAATAGAATAGAATAGAATAGAATAGAATAGAATAGAATAGAATAGAATAGAATAGAATAGAATAGAATAGTCTGTCAAGATCTTTCTGTATCTTAAGCCTATCTTCTGGAGTGGTGGCTATTCCTGCCAAATACTGATCTAGATCAGTATTTTTTGGTAACCTTAAGATGGGTGGACTTCAATTCCCAGAATTCCCCACCCAACCAGGTCAGATTGGCAGCCCCAACCATGCACTGTAATTGAAGCCCCAGCAGCTTTCTCAACCCTGCTGGGGTCATTTGTGAATTATGAACCAGGCTGCCTAAGGATGATGGGAACCAAAGCCACCTCAGCCACAATCCGGGTTTGCAAAGGCTGGTTTAACCGAGCTCCAGATTCACATTTGAAGATGATTCGCCTGATAGTGAGATAGGCAACATGTAAATTTAATAAATAAGTAGATAGATGATAAATAGATAGATAGATAGATAGATAGATAGATAGATAGATAGACAGACAGAAAGATAGATAGATAGATAGATAATGATGAGATAGATAGATAGATTGATTAGATAGATAGATAGATAGATAGATAGATAGATAGATAGATGATAGATAGATAGAT